CCTTTGCAGCGAACGCAGTAGGTAGAGAGCATGCACACTGTGTCCTGAGTGCACAGCAAGCCTGGCGCTTGCTGAATCACCCCTTCGTGTCGCAACCATCTACAGCAGGCCCGTCATCAGCTCTTTAACAGAAGAGGAAATCCAAGCCAGAGAGGTTGCAGGATCTGCTCATGATCAGTGTCCGTCAGCCAGGATTAGGAGAACCCAGACACTGCCCTATGTGGTCCACCGCCTCAGCAGTCCAGGCCGGGATTCCCTGCTTCTGGGCCTGCTCAAACCTTAAGACTTGCCTAAGAGGCCCTGATGCCACCTGTCTTGATATTTTCCCCACAGCTGGGCATGATGGGAAGATTCCCAAGGAAGTTTACTGAAGCAGGAAGCCGGCAGGCACCCAAGAAAGCACCAGATGGAGAAGGATTGGACCCTGTGAGGGACACACTGAGCCAGGACAAAAGAGAAGACATGGACACCAGAAGATGGGATGATGGGTGACCATCATAGGGGACCTCAGCTACCTCTTGTGTACCTATTGTGTGGCATGATCTGAGGACAACTGGCCTAGGAAACCAGGGACAAATAATATCCTCAGCTCCCCATGTGGCTGATATATTAGAAGGGCCCAAGAGCCCAAGATGTAGGCAGGCAATAGCTGTGAAATGGTGTCCAAGGGAAGTGCCTGGCCCTGGGCCCACAGTCAGGGGCCACGGAGGAAGAATCTGGGCCTCAGTCTGGAAGGCTGCTGGGCTGTGGGTGGAAGAGGATGACAAGAGGCACGCACAGAGCTGGCACACCGAGGCAGGGCTGGCTGGGAGGAGAGACATGCAAAGCCTCAGGGAAGAACCCTGATTCCGGCTGGAGGACAGTCAGGGTGGAAAGCCATTGGATGTGGCAGGGTGCTGGGGACCCTTGGAAAGGGATGATGGTGGAGGAAAACTCTGGCAAGGGAGGAAGTGGCTTGATGGAGGATCTGAGCAGATGGGCCTCAGGGGATCTGACCTCAGCCTGGACCTGGCTTCTGTACTCCTAAATGCAGAGGGTTAGGAGACGATTGAGGGTAAGTGGACCACTTGGATACTGGTCTCCCTGGGGTGCCTGTTGTGAAGAGTGAGTGGGCTTGGACAAGCACACACCCTTCAAGGCCACCACCCCAGGGAAAGTGTGAAGTGTCTATTCAGGGAGACAACTCGAGATAATGTGACTTCAGATTCTGTCTTAGTGTGGCTTTGGAGGCAAAGCCGGTGACCCCGGGCAGGTCCATGTGTCACTCTCTCGGTCTTCCTTTTCTCAGATGGATGGCTTTCATACTCCTAAATGCTCAGGGATGAGCATATGAGGGAAATGGGGGTGAGGAGATGCAGAGGGGTGGGGTCTAGGAGGCAGAGGAGGCAGAGGATGAGGGCAGAGGACCACCCCTCCCTCCACCCCATGCTCTGAGCTATGGTCAGGTAGCTCCATAACCCACCCCTGCCCAGCTGAGGCTCCCCTCACTTCCCCAGGCCACAGACCCAGCTCTGGATGACTGTGGTGGCTCAAGGCTCTCTGACTGGCTCCACTAGGTCCTGCTAGTGCTCAGCTGTGTCCTTCAGGTGGTAAGAAAAGAACACCTGACAGCATGCCCTCAGAGTGAGCGAACCCTAGTGTGTAGGCCGAGAGGCCACAGGCCCAGCACACAGTGGCTTGGCCTGGCCATATTCAGACGAGCATCTCCGCACAGAGCCCTGCCTGTCTCCAAACCTTCTAGGAAAAGAGCACACATGGCTTCTTAGTAAGGTGCCACTACCAGCCCAGTGCCAGGCACACCGCCAACCCTCCCTAGTGGGAGTACCTTGGCTCACTGTGAGGGTCACAGCTAGTCCCGAGGAAGAGCCATTTACCCAGGAGGGGGCTAGCCTCTCACGGGCACCTTCCTCTTTCTCTTCCTTTCTCTGCTGTCCCCACCTCCAGTCCTCCACCTCCTACCTGCTCCAAGCCAACGCTCTAAACACAGATCCATGGATCACCCCAGCCCCAAGGCCGCCCCCACCTCAGCTCTGATCACTCAGTGCTGTTGTTCCTGTTGTTTTTTTTTTCCACCTCCCCCACAAGCCCTGTGGGCAGGGACCATGTCTGATTCATCTGGGCCGTTCTGAGCAGGGTCTGGCACGGGAGTCCTGCCCACAGGTGGCAGAGCTGGCAGTGGGGATGGACAAACAGGGCCACTCAGTCCTCCCACCCAGCCCCCGTTCTTCTGCTGGAAGATGCTCCACTCTGCTTGGCTTGTATGAGTCTGGAGCTAGCACAGTGAAGACACTGAGTCCTTGGGACTCCTCACCGCTGCCTCTGGCCTGAGACCGATCCTCTCAGCTGTTCTTCTGTGACTAGGCCTATCTATCCAGTGTCCACCCCACATAACAACGGGGTAGCATTCCCAGACCCTCTGCCTCAACCATGGGCAAATGGCAACAAAGGTGACTCCAGGGGGAAGTGCTCCCTTGAAAACACAACAAAGAGGACCAGTCTTCTGGAACAGATGCCCAGGCACCCTGCTCTGTGGGTCACTGGGGTCACCGTGAACCCAAATCCACTTATCCCTGTCCACTGTCCTCTGTAATAATCCACTCCCTCTGTTACCACAGCTGGCTGAACCTGGGTCTGGCTGGACATAGAGGAGAAGGTGCCATCCTCAACCCCCTGCTATCAAGGTGCTGGAGTCCCTCCTGCATCCCTCTGTTATCGTTTTGCTTTGTATTTACACCTGCTTTGCTACCTCTCTTGTCTGAATGTCACAAGGCTCAGAGTTGTCTCTTTGAAGGTGAGGACCCCTGCTTACTCGGCCCTCACAGGGCTCAGAAACAAGCACTGAATGAAACAAGCACGGGCCTGAGCAGGCATCACTTCTGAGGGCAGCTGGGCCAGGGTCGGGAATGCCACCACCTTCAGCCCCTACTTACTTAGCCAAGTCTCCCACTGTCTGCCAGTTGCTCTCAAGCGCAGGGTCAAGTTGGCTTGCTGGCAAGACACACAGCTCTCATTTTAATTAATTAAAGAAAAATCTAATCACTGCATTAAACTTCTCATTACTCCACTTGAATACCCGTTAAGTAAATTTAATTACCAGAGGATTGGGTTTCCAGCCTCTTTCATTAGCTTCTGATAAGCCAGGGAGGGAGGAGACGACTGGGAGCAGAACAATGCTCTTCTCAAGCCACAGGGTACACAGTGAGCACAGGACAGGGCCCCCATGGTCAGGCTTTGCTGTCTGTCTTCTTGGACATGAGCCTGGACCACCCTCTTCCCCAGCTGACTCTAGAAAGGTCAAGAGCCAGCATTTGTCTGCACTCAGCAGAGTGCTTCACTTTCAGCCCTTCTTGGTTATCTCTGCCCTGCCTCTTTCCTAGGGTCTGAGGCTGCTGGGAACAATGACAGCAGCACAGCTTAAAAATAAGAAATCAGGACAATGGGGCAGGGGAGGTGAGAAGGCAAAGCCAGGAACAGGTTTATTGAACAGTTGTGTCCTGGAGGCTCAGTAGAAAGAGCTACAAATTGCCTGTGATCTTCCTAGTGGTCAAGGCAGAGCAATATACTTTGGCACTGATACAGTAACCAATGGAATGTTTAAGAGGAAATGCATACTGGGTCTCTGTCTTCCTACACGGAACACCGACCCTTGACAATAACCACTGGCTGGAATAGCAAGGAGAGGCTCTCTGGAAAAGAAGAGACCTGCAGTGGGCCTTGGAAGATGGGTAAGAGTGAAGAACAAGGAAAGACATAAGAAGGGCAGAAAAGAGATGGGTTACTGGGGACCAGGCAAAGGGGACAGCACCCCCAATCTCCCATGGCTAGAGAGGCCTATAGCAGCTCACTGCTCCTCTTCTCCAGAGAAATACCCTTCAAATAGGCACCCCTTGACTGAGCAATGCTGGGCTCTGGGGTCAGTGGCTGGCTAATGCAGAGTGAAGAGCCTGGTTCCTTATCCAGGTGTGGTTCTGAATTAAGCTGCAGGACTGACTGGACTTTACTCAAGATCATGGCCATGCTACAGCCCCACTTCTTCCTCAGTCTCCCTTTTTCTCCCCCTCTTCTCTGGAGACCCTGTCCTCTGCAAAAAGACCTTGGCTCAAGCCCAGCTTTTAGGAATTCTGACCAGCATGCTCCTCCAGAAGATCATTCCAAGTCTGAAGAAAATGCAGATGTCTCAAACTCCCCCAAAATAGGGAGGGTAGGAGAGGAAGAATATCCTGAACTCCTCCTGCCAGGTGCCAGGTGGCTCTCTCAGTGGTCCTGTCAAGTAAGGAAACTAAACCCAGACAAGAGGTACAGAGACTCATCTGAGGACCCACATCACGCTCATATCCATTTGGAATGGCTTCAAGCTGGCCAGTTGGGCACAGTCTGTCTGCAATGACCATTTGTTATTTGTTTCTGTCAGGTGTAAAGTCTCTGGTCTCCTGCATCAAGGTTTCAAGATTTCTTTGAGAAACAGCCTTCTCTCCATCCTGGTTACTTGCCTTAAAAAAAAAAAAAAAAAAAAGCCAGACCCTGGCCCACTACACCAGCAGTGTCTTCAAGATCTGTGGACCCAGTTAAAAGGCTCAGGATAATTCAAATCCTGCCACTGAGGACCAAGAGATCAATTCTAGAACTTCAATTTGTTTTATCATGAAATCAGATTTCTTTCTTCAACCCTAGACTTAAGTCTAGAAAGACACTAACCCAGATTGTGTCAAATGCCTCTAAAATGCAGCTGTTACCAAGAAAGAGGCATGAAGGGCACAGCCAGAAGCCAGAGTCTTTTCACATTGTCTGAACCACTGGCTCAAGCCTTGCTTGCAGCCTACACTACCACTAGACACCACTGGCTACATGAGCTGCCCATTTCATTTTACTGAAACAGCCTGTCCCCAACCCCTACCTATAATTCTGATAAGAAGTGCTCAAAAAGTGCCCTTTCTTCTGCAGGGCCGAGAGCCCTCAGGTATCTTTAGAGCTGGCAGAAGGGGGGATTGGGGTGCACCTACCGTAACTGTTCCAGTGCTTGACTGAGCCCCGAAGCACAAGAAGCACACACCCCAGGCAAGGTGGGGACAGGAATGACCTTCTCAGCTTGAGGCTAGTGAGGGCTGGACAGGGTCAGAGCCCGGAGAGTTGGACAGGAGGCTAAGCAGCCCTCAGACTCAAGAGAGCCAGGAGATTGCCTTAGGATTCCTAGAAAAGAGGAGAAACAGGACAGAGCTGTAGGGGTCTTATGAGGGACAGAGGGGTTGGGTGGGGATGGGAAGTGGGCAGCAGTATTGGACTAACAGGGTAAATCTGAGGTGAGACCAGCCAGGTTGCCCTTGCTTTCTTAGCCTGGCATCTTATTTCTATTCTAGGTTCCCCAGGCAACAACAGGAGGACCTCTACATAAGGGGAGCCAGGCTTCCTAGCACCCTCCTGTCTGAGCAATCAGAAAGCCACAGGCTGTACCTCCACACTATACTACTGACCCATTCTTGGCTGTGGGCACATCTAGGGACCCTAGCCTCTGCCTCACCTTCTCCAAGCAGAGACTACGAGGGACAGGGTGTAATGACCCCACACAGAGACTTTCCAGAGCTGCTAGCCTTTGGCAGATCACCTCTTCTTCAGTCAACTCTGGCTTCAAGCTTAGAGCTGTTCCTTTTGTCCTGGCTCTATAACAAGATCTGAAGACAGAGGCCCAGAATCGTAAGGTCACAGCTGACCAGGGCTCACTAGGCCCAGGAAGTTCCTCCAGACGAGCATGCCCAATAGAGTGCACTGAGACCAAAGACCATGTGTGCTCCATGTCAGCATGGTGGTGGCCGTCAGGGACCCATACATGTAGATATGTGCACAGTGACGCTGACTGATTGATGTGCGCGAGCGTGTGTGTGTGTGTGTGAGAGAGAGAGAGAGAAAGAGAGAGAGAGAGAGAGAGAGATGATTCTCTCCTCCTGCTGTAGCATTTGGGGACGGAACTCAGATGGTCAGTTTTCACAACAAGCCCTTTTAGCTTTGAAGTCGTCAACCTGGCCCATTTTGTTTTCACATTTCACAGGTAGCTAGTGGCTGCCATATTGGACAATACAGCTAGATCAACTGTTGTTTAGCTAAGCTACAGTCCATGGAAAATCTGAGATTCTGAGAAGGGAAAGGGTTTGCCCAAGGTCACACAGTTAGACAGTAGAAAAGGCAAAGCCATAACCCAGCTCCTTCAAGCCTACTCTTACCTTTCCGGGAGCCCACCGTCCTTCTCATGAATGGTCTTGGGCGTGCCCATCACACCACTCTAGTGTCTCACAGTTTTAAAGCCCATGCTGCTGCCCTAGCTTAGCGTGCCAGGCCACTCTCAAAAGGGTCCACCTGTCCAAGCCACTGCTCCTCGCCTACCTGTCAGACCCCTGACCTAGCAGCCTCAGAGATGTCCTTGAGATTGCCTGAAAGAAAACGTTTCCAGAGAGAAAACCTGTTGGGCACAGAACCGGTCTCTACCTAAACATTAAAAGCAAGACAACACGGAGGCTCCCAGCAATAGATAGGACTCAGCCATTAGAAATAGCCAACAGACTGACTGGAAGTGATCGTACAGCAATTATGCCCTGACAGGAATGGGGAGGAAAACAAGAAAGGGAGGAGGGCAGGGTCAAGGCACACAAGGGCCTTGTGGAGGCCACGCGTCCCTGCTGGCTCCACCTGTGCCGCAGGATCTTGCTTCCAGATCACAGGCCCGAGGTGACAGGTGACGGCTGAGGCCTGAAGAGCCACACGTGACTCTGGCCCCACCCTAGAAGGGTAACGTTGAGGGCTGAAACTTGGCTTCCTTTCTCCAAGGAAAGACTGCTCCATTTGGTTCCCCTGCCAGGATGGTGGCCTTCAAAGTGAAGGAGGGACTCCTTTCACGGGTCAGAGAAGGAAACCAAGGCACAGAGCAAGGAAACCATCCCTAAGGTCAAGAGCCACTTGTGCCTTGTTCTTTACAAGAAAAGTCTAAGGGGACAAGAAGGGAACCGCCATAGCCTTGGCATGATAGAATTGAGGTGGAGTGGGATTTTTTTTTTTCTTCTCATTTTTATTTCATGGGGAAAATGCATAGCAATTGAAAGCTGGGAATTCAAGAAATAAATGGATCAAAGAAAGTTCTTGAAAACACAAGGCCACACACAAAAAGATGAAAACATATCCAATTGACGCTGCCACTGCATCCAGGGACCTTGACTGTGAATGTAGTCTGCCTCGCAGCAGCGAGATGCAGGCAGCTCTCCCAGCAGCTTCCCGGCCTGAGCTGATACTCCAGGAGCAGAATGCCAAGGTGAACTGCCATCCACACCTGAATCTCCCCCTCCTCACTAGCGCTGGCATAGATGGCCTCAAAGGCCATGGCCTCCAGGCAGCCAGCATCAGTTCATAGGTGGAGTAGTGAAGGCCTGAGAGGTGAGAGACCTCACAAGACTGAACAGGAAATGCACCCCTACACCTGTGGCCCCCCCAATGCATGCAGAGCTCAGTTCAGGGCCTCCTAAGCCTGCTGTTAAAAGGGCAGATGATTTTACACACTTTACACACACACACACACACACAGAGTCATCACTTGCCATGTAGCTGGCTTCATCATCTGCTCGTGCCTTTATCTGTTTCTGCATTACTTGTTCATTCGCGAAATGCTTTTGAGGAAGTACTAAGGGCTAGGGGTGCTGTAGGTCCCGGCAATGAACGAGGGCATGGTGCACGAGGGCGGGAGGACATGAGATAGATGGGTCTGGCATTGTCACGCAGCCGGATGATAAGCAGAGAAACAAGACACTTCCTATGAGAGACAAGCTCAGTGACAACCCTAACATCCAGCTACGGGGGTGGGGAGGGGCAGCACAGGACTGTGCTTGCTCTAGCCAGGGGGTCAGGGGAGGTCTTCCTGAAGGGTGTCACAGCTGAGCTTCTCCTTCAGGAAGTGAGGCTGAGCAAGCCTGAGGCACCGAAGGCCAAGATGGGGGCTTTGGCTCTCATCCCAAAGTGCAAGAAAAGCCACTGGAGGGCTTTAACCAGATAAATGGAATGGTGTTTTCTTCATTGTTAAAAGTCCCCTCGAGCTGCCAACTGGAGCCTGGCTGCTCCCCCCGGAGGAGCAGGGGGGCAGTGGGCTGGCTGTCACAGTCACCCAAGGAGGAGGAGACAAGACTGGAGAGTGCCAGGGGGAGGCGGCCGCCTCAGCAGCACCAACAGCAGTTGTCTGCTGCCTGGGATGAGGAGGCGGGGTAAGGAGACAGGAGGAAGAGGGTACATCCACAGACACGTGCTGCTCTTACAACTAGACCACCGGCTTAAAATAACTCTGAAAAATAACGAGCAGATGCGACACCCATGGAGCCACCCACCCCTCCTGAGTCTCAGTTCTCTGGGGGTGGGGGGCATCTTCCTTCCTGATCCCCCTTTCTGTCTTTTCATCCTGTTCAGGAACACAGGATGGAACATAGTGGGCCTCACTCTCAAAGTGACAGAGGACAAGCCAGTCCTCGGACAGGACCAGATGGGTGGCCCAGAAGAGCCCCAGCAGGGGCCTGCTCAAGACTATGCCAGCTGAGCCAGGGAGAAGAGGTGGGCAGGAGTGATGTAGAACTGTGGAGGGCTGAGGGCAGGGGCAGGGCGGGGTGGAACTTGGAGCTTGGTCGTGGAGCATCCTAGACTGGAGTTGCTGCTCTGCTCTGCACTGGCTGGCTTTGGGGTCTGGGTTGGTCATCTCATCTCTGAAGACTCTACTCCCTGACCTACACACACACACACACACACACACACACACACACACACACACACACACACACCTGCCACATCATCCCACCGGAAGTTGAATGGAGAGTCCTGAGAAGAGAAATATCAAGGATGGACACCTATAACTCTCAGCACCCAGCCCCTGTGGTTCCCTGCAGAAGGCTAAAAGGTCATCTGGGCTTGAGCTAGTTAGCCGTTCTAAAAAGAAGTTCTAGAAACGCTATGCAGAACGCTGAGAAGATGTGGGCAGGCCCGAGGAGTCTGTGCGGTTTGCTCCAGTCTCACAGGGATAGATGTATATCAAATAATGACAGAGACTCCAGTATGCACAAGCAAGACCTGTGTAACTTCCTTATGGACAAAACAAAAACCTAGGGGCTGGAAAGCTCAGTGGCTAAACAGTCAATTTCAAGCCTATGAGTTAGTGCACCCCACACAGTTCTGGAAGGAGCCTCTTACTAAGGTGGAGGGGATGGTCAGATTGCCTCCCTAGAGGCTCTCATGCCACTAGCAGGTTCTGCCAGAAACTAGACAGATTCAGATGAAACCCTGAAGGTAGAGTCAGTAGAGAAGGCAGAGCTCCCTGCTCCAATCCCTCCGCTTGCTGTGTAAATAGGCAGAGTAGACAGGAGAGTTTCTAGAAGGTGGGTGAGTCCCACGCATCGCTCCAGGAACCAGATGCAGAGCGGCGCCTACAAGAATCACCTGGTTGCTTAGAGTTCTTGGGACCATGTGATCAGCTACTCCAACTTTTTAAATTTAATTTTTAAATATTTACCTATTTAGTGTATGTTTTAATGTTATTTATGCCATGTGTTTTGCCTGCATACATGCTTGTAGTGTGTGCCTGGCGCCTGGATGCCAGGAGAGGGCATCAGATCCTCTGGAACTGGAGGGACAGCTGGTTGCTAGCCACCTTGTGGCTGCGAAGAATCGAACTCAAGCCCTTCAAAAAGCAGCCAGTGCTCTTAACAACTGAGCCATCTCTCTAGCCCTACCACAGCTCTTAAAAGGGTCCAGCTACCTCCAAAAAGCCATGCTCCATCACCCTGTCAGAAGGTCTGCTCAGAGAGACACCATCAGGAAGAGATGCCAACGTCCTCAGCAGAAGCCTCAGGGGACAGGACTTCAGGTTTCTGACAACACAGTGTGGCATTTGTTGCAGAGAGCAGAGCAGAGCTTAGAGAGAAAGGATTGCAGACACCTGTCCTGCATGAAGAATAAGCTCCGTTCCCGAAGGCTACAAGGGAGTCTGGGCTGGCCATGTGTTGAGTGAAGATTTGCACTGACACGGAAGGTGATTCTTGTCACGCATTTCTTAAATTCCATATGTGTACAAAATCAAGGCTAGATTGTATAGGTCAGAGTGTGACGAAGACTGAAAGCAAAATAGTGCCTAGGACGGCAGTTGGTCACATCACTCTACTCTGGGGCATCTGTTCTCC